ATAGAGACCACCCTTCCTCTACTTGAATTGTGCCTCAACAGAGGGAGTAGGCAACAACCAGCCTACTAGATCAGCATACAACAAAGTTGATTGGAGGAGCCAACCTCAACTCCTGCCTCAACGATGACTAAAGGAGGAGCCCATCTCGACTTCGCCAATGGTAGACCTCGACGATGAGCAGGAAGGAGGACAACCCACCTTGGTGACGAGCTAAGGAGGAGCCCACCTCAACTCCTCCCATGGTTGGCCTCTATGACAATAGAAGAAGGGCTTCTCCCACAACTCACCTCGGCGACAAGTAGAGGAGGAGACCACCTCAACTCCTCCCATAGCTTGCCTCAGCAATAAGCAAAGGAGAAGGGACATATCAACAACATGAGATCTTTTCAGCATCCCCGCCGTAGGCCTACATAAGTCCCTTGGTGGTTCCACAACAGACCTATCGCTCAACATGGGTCCCTCGACAACAAGCAGAGAGATGCTCACCTTGGTGATAGGCAGTAGAAGAGCATGCCTTGGCTCTTGCAATAGTTGACTGAGAACAAGCTTCCTTTATCCAAAGTTGGTTTGTTGGTAGATTAAGTAAGTGACCAAGATATAATCTTTTATATTAGTAGACAATAACACAGATTGAGTGACGATGAAGGTCACAGTGTCTCCGCTATAGATTAGCAGCATATTAGATCGACGATCGATCCATGACCTTGTTAGGATATCACAATATCCCTTCTATAGATCGGGTAGATCAGGCTAAGACATTACTAGTGACCTTGATGACAAGTAGAAGAGGCCACCTCGACTCCTCCCATAGCTCACCTTGAAGAGCGAACCCACCACGACCTTCTTCAAGCGCCTCTAGGAGGATAGGACCAGAATCCTACCCAAGCTAGAAGAAGAGGAGAGGGAAAAAGAGCATGTCAACAATGACCAGCTCCCACCTCCCGATACAGGCACCTCTATGTCGCTATCATGAGACGATGATTGATGTCCCTACATTAAATTGAGCAAGCTGACCATATCCTTTATTATTTGAAACAAGCATCTCATCAGCTCCTTCCTCCATCTTTAGATGATGCACATGTTGAATAAGCTGATAGATATACTTTCGAACCTCTCAGGAAGAGTTCTCAAGGTGCAGCTTCAAGGAAACAAAATATAAAAAAATATCATCGAACAATTATCATTCAATAAGTGACTTATGTGTGATAATTAAATTAACACAAGAGAGACACGACCTGCCCCATTGATAATTAAATTAGCACAAGAGTGAATTATCATTCAATAAGTGACTTATGTATGAACATAAATCCAAAACAGACGATGATAATATAACTCTCTCTCTCTCTTTATCGTCTGTGTAGACAAGAGTCTCAGAGAGATTATCTCCTAAGAAAATATTTCTTAAAACATTTTATTCCTCTTTTATCCGATATAAAAAGTTCTCTCCAACAGGAATCGAGGTCAATGACCTTTTTATCATTTCCACCTCATCAATTTTTGCAACACCGCAATTGTCACCTCGACGACATCTATCGTTCCTATAACTTCAATGATATTTTACGATCGAATAAGATGCGTTGCAATGAGAAAAATGACACACATCGTAGAATTAAGGACGCTATCATCGCATCTCACCTAAACCAAGCACCAGTTCGCTTGCCAAACGCATGTGAGGTTCACGCACCATGATGGAGAACACCCACGTGCAGTAAAATTAACTCATGTCTCGACCCAATCTTACTTATTCGGATCTTTGGATCATCCGGCAGAGCAAATATATACATATTTCTTTCTTTTCGGAACACAAAAAGGACAGGCTATCAGACTAAAGGGATTCTACAGTCTCTGCCTACCTCCACACTCCATATCACGAAATACAAATATAAACAATAAAGATAGATTGATAGATCAAAAAAAAAAAAAAAAAAAAAAACCCCCACTCAGCAATTTCAAACCTCCACAATAAAAGATTCAACAAGACTATATATATATATCATCCGGCTACATCAGCAGCTCGTTCACCCATTCCAGATCTGGCCAACACATACTGCTGCTGCTATTGCCGCTTTTCACCGCCCACTCACCCCTCGCGTCCGTCGGTGCGGCAGCGGCAGGACTGGTCGCTGGTGATGCCGAAAGTTCCATGGCGTCCAACGAATTCATCAACTCTTCACACACAACGTCATAATCTATAACACGACCCGTATTATTACCAATATACCTATTGATTAATCCAAAATTCATCTGCTTGCTATCGTAGTGCATTTCTCCAGCAGAGGGAGAGATGGGTGGAGAAAAACTCATCAGCGTCGATGTGGGAGAGAAGCCAGAGGCGGCAGCTGAGTTGTCATTGGCTGAGCAAAAACCATAGCAGGATTGTGAGTAGTTCGTCTCGTCATCTTTGTGGGAGGGGAGGATACGAAGCTGCCGCGGGAAATGGGCAAAGAAGCAGATCTTGCGGCGGCACCGACGCCCATCCTTGCACGGCATGGTGCGGTACCTCGCCGGATGGAGCCAGCACTCGAAGACGCCGTGGGCGAGCTCGCAGGCGTCCCCCTTGGGGCACGATCCGGATCGGCGGAACTCGGGGCAGACGGCGCCGGAGTAGTGGTATCGCCGGGGGTCACGGCGGCGGGCCTTCTCGCCCGGATGCGCAAAGGGGCAGTCAGTCCAGTCGTGGCTCCGTCCGCGCATGCACCGCCGTACCTTGAACTCGTACATCCGGAACTCGTCGCTCGAGTACACGTCCACCACCTCATCTACCGCCCCGTCGCCGCTGTCGTCCTCCACATCCGGGAGCAGGACAGAGAGGCGCGGCCGCTGCAGGAGCTTTCTGTGAGGCAGGTCGAGATCCGACAGAGCTTTCTTCTCGCACAACAGGTGGTGCCGCTGATCAGCACATACGATGTTGGCCATGCTTACACTTGCTTCAGCAAATCCAAAGGGTTAATCCTCAGCCGAGGCGAAGATGATGAAAGAGGTCCAGTGAATCGGAGGGGAAGGGCATCGGCTTGCACGCGAAGGGACTACGTGGGAAGCGAATGCATGCCTCGCGATTGCGAACCTGACCGGCGATGGTGCGTTTCGCCTCCGAGTTGGGGCCGGGTGGGCAGTATATGACGAGAGGAGAGAGACGAGAGTCGGTGGGCGGCGCCCTTTGCGTCCCGAAACCGTACACATGGCGCTCGGTTCGCGAATGGAGAGCGCCACTTGGCGTGAGATCCTCACTCTACCGCTGCATGGAGGTGTTCGTACGCGCGTACGTATTGAGGCGTAGATGGCCGTATGTATGGCGTGGCGTGGCATGGCATGGCATGGCATCGCATGCATGCATGGGAACGAGATGGGAGAACGAAGCGGTGGATCTCGGAGTGGATTGAGATAATGTAGGAAAGTTGGCTAACAGCAATTTGACAGGGTAATGGAAGTTGGATCGGATCCACAAGTAACTGCTTATTAGGTGCGGATTCTTGATGACTCAACTAGCCTTATTAATCTAAGAAAACTAAAGAAAAATATATTTGTTTAGGCTTCGGTGATGTATTCAATTAATGACAAAAGAAAGGACAATCGTGTTGCTTTGCTGTGTTGTGAAATGGACAAAGGATCCGACAGTCTCGACGGTTAAAAATCATGCCACGTGTCATGTCTTATGGACGCCTAACAGGAGACGAGACACGGTGGCGGAGAAGGTCCGATAACCCTTTGGCCGCCTGTCGGTTTCGTGTTCCAAAAAGAATAATAATCTGACGGCTCCCATCATTCTGACACATCATGGTGAATGGACTCTAGATGGTACACAAGGTTCGCCGACCACCCGGTACCTCTATCTCGCGCTAGTTTGCTGCTGAAAGATTCCGAAAAATATCCAAACCGCAAAAGGGGGGTCAAATCCTCATCATCAGGGTGTCGCATGGCGGTGATGAGACTCCAACTCATCGCTCTTTCCATGTCTTGATACCATAAAACCAAATACACAATATCCAGGTCCCTTTCCTATGATGTGCGCAATGGCGCGCGCGCGCGTGCGTGCGTGCGTGTGTGCGTGCGTGGACTCCTACAATGATACAGTGGACATCGTACGTAGGTATCCCCTACGTAGAAGAGCTGTAGGGGGCTTTCACAATTTATTCCACTTTACTTTTCTTTCGTTTCTCATCACTTTCTTCCGCCTGATTTGAATAATAAATAAATAAAATAAGCAGTGATTTACAACTTGGAAGGAACCTTCTGTTTCTTAAGGAGGGTAACCCCCATGAGATTTGCATTCTTCCATGCCTGGACCTCGTCGTGTAGTTTAAATTCATATCAGATTCTTTCGACTTTGACCGATTAAGGAAAACACTACCAAGGCGAGAGAGAGAGAGAGAGAGAGAGAGAGAGAGAGAGAGAGAGAGGAGAGAGG